TTTCAAATAGAAGCCGGGATAAGAGGAAGAGGATGAAAATGCCGGGGCTTTTTTTGTACCAATAAAAGTCATTTGGTATAGATAGAATAGCCTGTAACAATTAATTTGCTGTTTTATGGCCTGGATGACTTTTGGCGTGGTATATTGACGCTAGTGCAAGACCGTAAGCTAGCTAGTAGGTAGTATGTAAAAGGTACTCAGTTTAGGGAAATAGCAAGTAAGACTGACATGGGGATATAGCTGGCCATGCAGAACTTTAGGTTATTTTAATATTTTCTTTTCTTGAAATGTCACTTTCTGGATTTGCTAGCAAGGATCCCTCTCACGCAGGACCTTACTTGGGGCCTCCCTGCTGAGTGTCTGGGCACTGCCGGTAAGTTTCCCGGCCAGCAGGGGAGTCCTAAAGTAAATCTGTGCTCGGGGAAGGACCCTTGCTCAGCAACCCCCCCCCTTGAATGACATCTAGTGCCACAAGGGATATGTCGGTCTTATCGCTCTTCTATTTCACTTGCTTGTATCTTACTCATGCTTGCCGGTGATAAGCAACCGGACTGCCGCCCCCCAGAGTAGATGGGCCATGTTTGTTTGGGAAAAAAAAAGAGAAAAAAGAAAAAAGGCATGAAGTGGCGAATGGCCTGGTGGCTCAGTGGTTAGAGCAGCGGCTGCAAATGCGCCTTGTGGTATGAGGTTGCAGGTTCGAAACCCTGCGGCCTTGCGCACGTCCGCCGTTAGGCGTTTTCCTAGTGCCCAGCCATTCGCACACCCCCCTTGGGACGACGCATGGTAAGTTTATACAGATGCTGCCTGCGCACCGCCCAAGGGGTCCAGTCCATGGTTGTAGTATGCTGGTAGCAGGCCTCAGGAGGGCTGCTTGGGTACTTTGTCTATTGGTCGGGTCTGCTGAGTGGGGTCACGGTCGTGTTCTTCCCATGGGGGGGAAGGGGGCGGAGATTAGGTTTAGGGTCCTAGGGGAGGGATGAGCTGGGTGAGGGAAGGATTTACCATTGGGACTGCCAGGATTTCGTAACGAAGGGGGCGCTGGTACGGCCCTGGGCCCTCTATACATCAACAGGAACTCTGGAACAATAGGTACCCCCTGCCTGCAATTCGGGACCCCCCGAATTGTCGGTCTTGCCAGTCTGTACTAGTCTGTGGGGTGCCATGGCAGAGTTTGGGTACAAATGATACGTTTCCTGTCACTATGGTACCCACACAAGAGTGCACACATAGCGCAACTTGACTACGGTGGGATCCGAACAAGGGTAAAAATGCTACGCACACACACGGTGTTAGTATGGGGTAGGGTGCTGGACATTCTCGATCCTGCAGGTACCATCTGATGCCTGTGGGATGGTGCTTCATCCAGGGTCACCGTGGTGTCCGTTGGGAATACTCATTGGGGGAATCAGCTGGATTAGGGCCCTCAAGGGGCTGGGATAGGTCGGCATCATACTTAGGGAGGGAAGGAGGGATATCGCACCTTAGTGGAGAGGTAGGATGCTTCGCTGCCTACTAGGGTCTGCGGGATGAGGCACAGATGGGGGTTGACCGCATCATGAAGACCCCCCCTCTGCTCGGGCCGACTTTGGCACTAGAGTCAGGGTAGTGTCTACACAAAGACGTTCGGGTCAGTCCGGTAAGCGTTGGCGCAGATCACGACTTGCAATCTGAGCACTAGTATAGGTCATGTCATTGTGATGCCACCTTGAGGTGACTTCCCCCCGGGAGCCTAGCAACTCATCTCACCTCCCAATGGATGAGTACCATGGGGACCTCCTGAGGCCTGGCCTCCGCCCTCTACTACACCATGGACGAAGAGCACAAGGGGGACATCCTACAGGTTGGATAGATTCACAAAGCTGAAAGCGAAGAAAGTTCAAGAAACAAAAAAATATCATGCCGAGGGAAGGAGGGGCCATGGGCAGGGGCCCTCAGGTGGAGGGAAAAGAAGGGAAAGAGGAAAAGGAAGAGGGAAAGGAAGAGGAGGAAGAGGAGGAAGAGGAGGAAGAGGAGGAAGAGGAGGAGGAAGAGGAGGAAGAGGAGGAGGAAGACGAGGAAAAAGAAGAATGAAAGGAGGAGGAGGAAGAGGAGGAAGAGGAGGAAGCGGAGGAAGAGGAGGAAGAGGAGGAAGAGGAGGAAGAGGCGGGAGAGGAGGGAGAGGAGGGAGAGGGAGGAGGAGGAAAAAGAAGAGGGAAAGGAAGAGGAGGACGAGGAGGAGGAAGAGAAGGAAGAGGAGAAAGAGGGAGGAGGAGGAAAAAGAAGAATGAAAGGAAGACGAGGAAGAGGAGAAAGAGGAGGAAGAGGAGGAGAGGGAGGAGGAGGAAAAAGAAGAGGGAAAGGAAGAGGAGGAAGAGGAAGGAGGAAGAGGAGGAAGAGGAGCAAGACGAGGAAGAGGAGGAAGAGGACGAAGAGGAGGAAGAGGAGGAAGAGGGAGAAAGAGGGAGAAAGATGAAAAAAGGAAGAAGAGGAAGAAGGTCAAGAAAAGAGGAGCAGCTGTAGAAACAGCACGCCCACATGACTAACAATTTGTATCAAAAAAGCTTACCCCATTGCAAGAAGCCAGCTTGCAAGAATCACTCCAGCACTGCAAATTAACCATCAAGGCACAGGAAAAATGCCCAAATGCATGTCAGCATGCATGCACAAATCCTCTGCCTCCGTAAAGAGGATCCATGGTTGGCTGATTGACCCGTTGAGACCAACCATTCTCATCCCGATTACCATTCGTTCTTTGTGTTTTCTTCCTCTCCTTCCTCCTCCTCCTCCTCCTCCTCCTCCTCCTCCTCCATGTGTAGAAGAAGAGGGATGAATCTGGACAACAAATTTCCAGCTTATGCCTTTTGTTGACGTCCTCATAAATTTGATCCAATCACAAACCTCCAAGCAATCAGCTTCAAAATCTTCAACCAATGAAGTTGGTGGATAAGTGGATGAAGTTCCTGGAGAGATTTCATATGTTGCCGCCATCTTCTCCAAAACCTCCAACCAATTATCTACCAACTTATTCAAATACCTTGCATCTTCTCTTTTCAATTCCTCGAATTTCCTCCCAAATTCCAAAATGAATTCACTCCCTTGTCGCTCGGCAATCTGCATCTCTCCACTGCTTTGGCACACAAACTATCGAAGTAAGATCACAGGATACAAGAAGCTCTAGGGTGGGGTGGGTGGTGTCTGCTCCATTCTTCTCTTGGCCAGGCAGTGAAGCTGACGAGCGGAAAAAGGGATTTGAACCCTCGACCTCGAGTGGGCACATGGATATATCCAAATCCATTATGTCCATTATATCAATCATTATACTGAGGTCAAGGGTTCAACCCGCTTTTTCCGCTCGTCAGCCTCGCTGCCTGGCCAAGAGAAGAATGGAGCTGACACCAACCACCCCACCCTAGGGTGGGCGGGAAAGATTGAACGCTTCCAGATGTGTTCCTCATCAATTATACCCATATTACTGATTGAGAAGGCATCCAAATGTTCAAAGTTGTTTATCGGAGGAGTGCTGTATACCCCTCATGCAAGGTCGCCAATTACAGTCCTCTCCCTGATGGGGCATCTCTCTCACGAGATTGTTCATAACGATGTTCCTTGCAAGTTTGTGAGCCCAACGGCTGAATTGCCCCAACGAGGGAGCAAGACAAGGTAACGCACAGTACAACGGCTTAATTGCCCCAACGAGTCCAGAAGCGAAAGACTGAGAAGACCAAGAAATGACCAGACATTAAATGGTCCAAAATCTCAGGAGAGTGGAAAGGGAGGGAGTAGGACGCCCATGTGGCGCAGCCAGTCAATGGTGGATGGCGTGTCGAGTGCCATGGGAGAAAAGCTGGGTTCATTGTTTGCTTTTCGTCCGTTCTTTTTTATACGATTTCTGGTATCTTGTGGTCTGTGAACTTGCTTGCCAGTGATAATATAAACCGGACCGGTCGCCCCCTAAAATAGCTCGGGGCTGTGTGTGTGTGTGTGTGTGTGTGTGTGTGTGTGTGTGTGTGTGTGTGTGTGTGTGTGTGTGTGTGTGTGTGTGTGTGTGTNTGTGTGTGTGTGTGTGTGTGTGTGTGTGTGTGTGTGTGTGTGTGTGTGTGTGTGTGTGTGTGTGTTGTTTTAAAAGACCCCAGATTCTCTCTCTCTCTCTCATTCCCTTCACAAATCATCACAAGCCATCCATAACGAAAAAGTTAAGATAGGCAATATAATAGAAAATGCAAGGTTGGCCACGTTCGTGTGGTTCAGCGCCAAGTGCCCACACACCCGTCTGCCGCCAAAGTGGCACACTTGCACATATACATATGTATACGTAATACATATATATATTTCAAACCATAAGGGGATGGAGGGCAGAACGCAGCTTACCTAAGACGGAAGACTACTCCAGCAAGAAGGCACCGACCCAGCCCCCTCAAAGGTCCAAAAAAACTTGGAGAGCCTTCCACATCGGCCCACAAAACCAAAAACTCATTTACCAAAAACAAACAAATATAACAGCATTGGCATTCCCGACATTCATCTCAAACTACACACTCATGTCACTGCCAAAGAGGAGGAAGACGATAAGAGACAACTTACCTAAGAAGACTCCTCCATGTATGTGTGTGTGTGTGTGTGTACGGAAAAAAAAAAAAAAAAAAAAAAAAGGGAATTTACAAGGCAACAAAAGGACTAGAAGGGTTCAATACAAGGGGAAAAAAAAACGACTCAGCACTTCAACAGCAACAAACTCTCGTTCGTTAAGCGGGCAAGTCCCAGTGAATCAGAAAGATCGAAGTTCACTTCGCCATAGCCTCGTTAGCAGTTGGGCAACATAGTCTGTGTGTTATCACGTCACTCGAACAGAGCAATGACCCGCACACACCCATCTGCGCATGCAATCGCGCATGCAGCATGGTAGCAGAAGCAGAAGCAGAAGCAGAAGCAGAAGCAGAAGCAGAAGCAGAAGCAGAAAAGCGGAAGAAGCGGAAGAAGCGGAAGAGGAGGAGGAAGAAGAAGAAGAAGAAGAAGAAGAAGAAGAAGAAGAAGAAGAAGAAGAAGAAGAAGAAGAAGAAGAGGAGGAGGAGGAGGAGGAGGAGGAGGAGGAAGGAAGAAGAAGAAGAAGAAGAAGAAGAAGAAGAAGAAGAAGAAGAAGAAGAAGAAGAACATAGAGAACAACAACAATAACAACAAGGTATGGGGTAAAACTTGTCACTCACCTGCGTATAGAATCGGATAGAACATGAAGAAAGATGGAATGGCGATTCATATCCTGGGCAGATCTGTAAACTATAATATACACACACAGCGGGCCAGTACCCCCACAACCAATCCCGGAAAAAAAAGGATAGCGAGCTGAAAGTTAGCAAGAGCACAACGAGGCACCGACAATGCAGAAAAGGGGAAAAAAAGCATGAAAAAAACGGCATACGCTCGGAAAAAAGAAGGCACACAAAAAGACACCAAAAAAAGACACAAACCAAGACACACACAGATTCACACACAAGAAAAAAGACAAAAACGAAAAGACACAAACAAAGACAGAAAGAAAACACTGACAAACAAAGACACAAAGAAAAAGGAGACAAACAAAGACTAGCTATGGTTTAGTTATGTGTATAACCTACCCAGAAAAAAAACGAAAAACAAAAAAAAGAAAGCCTACTCACTGTACGCAGTAGAAACACCAACATCCAATTGTTAGCTCCATATGTTTTTCAAACTTTCCTTTTCCGGCGCTCAAGTGCAACAACGCAAAGGAAGTGTAAATTTTGGGATGCAATTTCCGACGCTAGACATCGGTCGATCGTCATCTTAGAGTCACCACGATACTGCCGTCATGTTACAAAATCCACAGACAGCAACACAGAGAAAAACAGCAGACCACAGTTTTTCTACTGATGATGACAACAGTGGTTCATGGAACGACAGCAATCAGGTAATGATAAATTACTATTAAAATTAGCAATGCTTCTCCCAATGACACGGGTTCAAATCCAGCACAGAAACATGCAGTTCTGCTCTGTCATGTCAGTGGCATCACAATTTTTTTAAAACTCACCTAAGCTGATCCGGGAGTGGCCCCGGAAAAACAGAACCCCAAGGAGATTAACAAGGAGGTTCGCGACAGCCGAAGCAATCAGGTAATGCCTGTCAAGTCAGAGACATAGCAGAACACACACACAAACATCCACCCAACCACAACGGAGCAAGCAGACAGCCAACTCAGATAAGCAAAAGAGCTAACAAAAGACATCTTCTTCTGGACGTTATCCACAATCTTATCCACAATCTTATCCACAATCTTATCCACAACGTTATCCACAATCTTATCCACAACGTTATCCACAATCTTATCCACAAAACTTATCAACAATCTTATCCACAATCTTATCCACAAACTTATCCACAATCTTATCCACAACGATATCATTCAATCTAGGATTGAAATGTCTTTGTTGCCATATACATTGTGGATAACAATTGACTGTTCGAGCAAGAAGTTATGCACACGATGTCCGCTTCACAGCGCTTGTCTTGTGAACATTATCTGCCAATTCATTGAAGGTTCACAACTCTAAAATTCTGGAAATACTAAATACTGTATGAACTATATAGAAATATTTGAATCGAGAGCGTGGCGTTTGCTCTGAACAGTAAATGTCAAATGACATCATTCATACTCAGTTCCTTCTCTCTCTCTCTCTCTCTCTCTCTCTCTCTCTCTCTCTCTCTCTCTCTCTCTCT